CAAACTAAAAAGTTTTTCACATCAAAAGAAACTATTAACAGAGTTAAGAGAAAACCTTCAGAACGGAAGAAAATATTTGCAAACTATANAAATGGTGCTGGGAAAACTGGATATCCACATGCAGAAGAATGAGACTAGACAACTACCTCTTACCATATACAAAAATAAACTCAAAATGGATTAAAGAATTAAGTGTAAAATTTGAAACTATGAAACTACTAGAAGAAAACATAGAGGAAATGGTCTATGACATGGGGGTGGGCAAGGATTTTTTACATAAGACTTCAAAAGCAAAAGCAACAAAAGCAAAAATAGACAAGTGCAATTACATCAAACTAAAAAGTTTTTCACATCAAAGGAAACTATTAACAGAGTTAAGAGAAAACCTTCAGAACGGAAGAAAATATTTGCAAACTATATGTTTGACAAGGGGTTAATACCAAGAATATATAAGGAACTTTAACAACTCAACAGCAAAATAAGAAGAAGAAGAACCCAATTGAGAATTGGGCAAAGGATCTTAGTAGACATTTCTCAAAAGCAGACATACGAATGGCCAACAGGCATGTGAAAGAATGCTGAACATCACTAGTCATCATCAGGGAAATGCAAAATCAAAACCACAATGAAATACCACCTGACTCCAGTTAGAATGGCTATTATCAAAAAGACAAAGAAAACAAGTGTTAGTAAGGATGTGGAGAAAAAGGAACACCTGCACACTGTTGGTGGGAGTGTAAACTAGTACAGCCATTATGGACAGCAGTTTGTAGCTTCCTCAAAAAATTAAAAATAGAACTACCATATGACCTAGCAATCTCTGTACTGAGTATGCACCCAAAGGAAATGAAGTCAGTATGTCAAAGAGATATCTGCACTACCGTGTTTATTGCAGCACAATTTATAATACCCAAGACATGGAATCAACCTAACTGTCCAACAAGGGATGAATGGATATTAAAAAAAAAAAAAAGTGGTATATATACACAATTGAATACTATTCAGCCATTAATCCTCCCTTGGCCTGCTCTGTCTAGAATATTGCTTAAAGGCAGTAATCACCTCATTTGTGTTTATACACCAAATGTCTACTAATTACTTGGCACATAGGAGATACTCCTAAATGACTGTTGCATGATGAAAGTGGGGGCTCAGTTGCCAGGTAGTGGATATATTTAAATAATATTGGACTTTTAATTTAATTTAATTTTTATATGCAAATACTTTATTGGTTATGAATATTCATGAGATACAAAGCTGATTGTAACTACTCGTGCCTGAGATGTGATGGCCAACATATTTATGTACCAAAACATTAGATTGTACCCCATAAGCATGTACAATGTACAATAACAATGTGTCAATTAAAATAAGTAAATATTTTTTAAAAAATCTAAATAAACAAATAAAATAAAATAACACCACCAAGAGAGAGCACATGTAAGGATNGGTATATAAGGAAACTCTCAAACTCAATTATATCCCAGAAACACAAATGTTATGTAAAATATAGATTTGTATCTCTGTAGCACATTGAACATGGAAGATTATTCCACAAATATTGAAATAGATAAGTGGAAGAAAATAGAGATCCTAAAACAAGAATATATGAGAATTTGGCTTATAACAGAGCTAACACAAATCAATGGGTAAAGAATGGAATATTCAATAAAAATTAATGGGAAAACTATCTATAAAGAATAATGTAAAATTAGGTCCCTTCCTCATACCATGTTCCCTACACAAAAATAAACTATAAACAGATTAAAAATCTAAATACGAAAAGAAAAACAGTAAAATTTTTTAGAAAAGAAATAACAGAACCTCTTCATTATATATATGGGGCTAGGGAAAGATTTTTAAAATAAGATACACAAAGCTTATATAAAACTCTAAAGGAAAAGATGACATATTTAAATATATTAAAATATTTTNGGATGCAAAGTGGAGTGTGGGAAAGGGGGATGGGGATGGAGGTCCAGAATAATTGGGTGGGGGTCATGGGGTATAATCATAATTTGTGGTAATGGGAATGCTGCCAGTATTGATTTGAATAAGAGGAGGATTATCTAAACTTAACATTCTGAATTATTTTGCCTAAACTCTAAGCCCCAAAATGGGCTGCTTCTGGTTCTCTGCAGTTTTCTACCTTATTCCTCTCCACTAGCAAGTGAAATAAAATCATCCTCAGTTCCTTACTGAGGAAAATCATATCAGTTCCTAATATATTCTTTGATTCCTCCCTTTGAACCCCGACATAATAATAACTAATGTTTGTTTTGAATTTTACAGTTTATAAAATACTTTCTAATACTTTGCAGATCATTTGCTTCTCATTGTGGAACATTATTGCTTTCACTTTCAAATAAGTAAACTGAGGCTTTAAGAGGTTAACAGTTGGAAGAGTTAGAACCATAACCCTGGTCTTGATGGCCAAATCCAAGTCGCTTTCTGTTACACTGTACCCATTTTACTGATTTCTATCATAGTGAATCTAAGTGAATATAAGCTAAGTGAATCTAATATTATAGTGAAAAGACCACACTTTAAAAATGGTGCTCTAAACTTTTTTTAATCATATCAGCAATATCAATGTCTCCCTCCTCTGGGCTCCTATAGCTACACTGTAAACTCTATGACAGCAAGGATCCTATCTGTCTTGTTCTGCGCTATCACTTTAGTGCATAGCATATGCCTGGAAATATTAGGGGCTCAATAATTATTTGTTAAGTTAATGAGTGCATATAATTTTCATTGTCTGTGCCACTCAATGTAACACAGGAATGCATTAAACCCACTGGTATATAAGGAAACTCTCAAACTCAATTATATCCCAGAAACACAAATGTTATGTAAAATA